CCCACACACATAATAGTTAGCCTCCTCTCCTACACACACAGTAAACAACCCCCTATTTCTCAGTTACCCCAGACACACACAAAAATTAGCATCCCCTCACCCACACAGTGAAATTAGCACCTTCTCCCTCACAAACACAGTATTTAGCCCCTCACTCCACCCACACAATATTTTGTCCATATTTCTTCATTAATGTCCCATAGGGAAAGATATCTGCATCAGTACCTCATCTTGTTTGCATGTGACTCCAGAGCCACAGTAATGTGGCCATCTCTTAAATGTCCTCTGACCTGGCCAAGAAGTGGCTCAGCTGTGCCAAATTACTATTAAGTCAAAATGCATTGAACTGGATGGACCAACTAGCATCAAACTCGACACTGGAATTGACAAAGGCAAACCTCGCTCTATCAAAGCTGCAAAGTGCTCCTTTGGACAATTATTTGGAGAAAGGATCAAGGTGGAGGGCCCAACCGTCTCTGCAGTGTCCTGGGTGGAAACTGCCAAGAGGCCTGTATGTGGTTTTTCCCAGTACCACCCTGTTTCCTTGTGTCTCAGTCTCTGAGCTAATGTAAGGTGCGGGAGGAAGCCTTGTTGATTAGCTTTCTCTGAGACCTCGATACTCTTATTCTCAGATGTTCAAAAGGGAAGTTCTTCCGCAGCTAGCTTCTACTCAGCAGATATTGTCAGGAGACTTGTGAAATCTATAAGTCAAAAGAGAGACTCGTTGTGGCAAGTGGTGTGCAATGACAGAGAGCGACAGCCGGGTTGAAGGGAAAGTGAAATTGACATGAAAACGATGCATGCTTGTTTGGAGGGACATGGATGTCTTGGCATCTCTGCTGGAGTAGTCCCAGCCTTCCCCTCTCCACAAAGAGGATGTGGACACAGATGTTGGGCATCCACCACCATCACCACCAGCCCTCCAAACCCCACCACCCACAATGTGGGCTGTCTCTGCCCTTTTATGGGCTGCCTTCTCCTGAATTGAGGAAAAGGTGAGTTAGATAACAGTGAGTGACAGTTTTTATTCTTAGTGCATGCAAGGGAAAGGTGGGGAAATGTTTCAGAAGACTAAGGGCGTAATGCAGAGCACAAGCAGGGTCAGTGGTGTGGGAGGCTGAGGGGTGAAGAGCAGGTGAGGGAATCTGTTACAGGCAACAGTAAGGGTGGTAGGCATGAGTCTTGGGAGGTGTTTGGCAGTAGCACCAATAAATTGACTGCAAGATGGCAGAGGGAAGAATGTGGCACTTACCCTGAAGAAGCAAAGAAGGACATTGACCTTCTTTCTACACTGTTGGCTGTTCCTCTGCACCATGCAAGCAACCTTAGACCAAACTGGCAGGGTCTGGTGGCACAGTCTTCTCTGCCAGTCATTCAAGAGGAGGACTCCTCTCCTCTGTACCACCCCATATACCAGCATCTCCAGACCCCTGGTACCATCTTCCCCTTATCTGCCATGTTCCGATTCTGACCATCAACAAGCAGATCAGCTTTTGAATGTCAGGACTTGTCCGCATGCACTGTAGTGTTTTAAAAATGGTGCAGGCATAAGCAATGCTGGTATTTGGACCAATATCGACTGAGTGGAGAGTGGTAAGATGGAACAGAATTCGGACGTTAGAAACATCATAGGGGCACAGTAAGTAATTAACATGGCCACTTTAATAAACCAGGGCGAGGGAAACTCACTAGGCCTCAGGATGATAAACCCTCCAAAAAACTTGATGCAGTTCAAACTTAACTTCAAAAAAACATAAATTTTAGCTCTGAATACGTTTCATATGCAGAGTACTATGATTACAGATGACTTCACCTATACTGTGCAAATGTTCAATTAACATGTTTGCCACATGAAGGGCCTCACATCACTCACAAATACAGTGCGCTCCCTCACACAGAAAAAAAAGACTTTCTGTGCCCTCTCTGGGTATGATCACAGCTATTTTCCATTTCCATTGCGGATTTACAATCTGCATGAGAGTGGAAGGCAATGCAAGTCATGTTTGGCAGAGTGAGTCATGGGCTCAGCCTGGTAACTAAACACCACACCCCCATCAAACTTCCACATTTCTTTCTTCCTTGCAATCTCTGTTGACCCCCTTAATACTGTGCTTCCACATGTTCCCTCCCAGCTCTTTCATTTAAGTCTTAATCTGCCAACAATACCCACTGAACCCCAGCCCTACAACTCAGTCATTCCACCCATCGTGCTACACTGAGACTCTATCAAAGCCAGGCTGGATGTGACCATTGACACCCGCCGCACCACCACCCTCCCACCCCAGCAGCCCATGTCCCTCGGGCACTATTATCTTTACATGTTGAGTTGTCTCCTCCTTCACGTTTATTGTCCCCTCTGCATCCCAGGTTGATGCCTCTAATGCCCAGATTTGATATCCCCCAACTTCCCTCCCACAGCATTGGCCCTTGATAGCCTCCCTTGACTTTCATTCAGACCCCAGAAGTTACTGTGGCCCGCTTCACTGACCAACTTGGATGGACAGCTTCACCTGATGAGTCCTTGCGCCCCTGATGAGTCCTTGCGCCCCTGACTGATCTCTGTGCAGCTCCTCAACTAACTAAATCCCTGGACTGGACTTGCAGGACTGAGCATTGCCCACTGCCCAGAATGTAGTGAAATGGAACCCCTGAATCTGACCACCAAAATCAGCCAACTGACTGTGTCCAAGCCCCTGCACTGAGATGGGATGCTGCATGTGTATGTTCACCCTGACTGAAGGTTGTCTCCCTAAATCTGACTGAGGACTACTCCCTTTAAGTCATGGCCATTTGGCTGAAACAGATGGAGTTAGTTTACTGTGCAAGCTACTGGCACATGCTGGAGGTGATCGATAATAATGTAACACGGTGCCATACAGCAACATGTCCACCCCCTTGATTGATCACTGCTGATAACCATAATAAACTGCCTGGTTTTGTATCTGTGCCAAACAGCAAGGCAAGCCAAAACTATTGTGAGCCTTTAATTCTGAATGTGGTGGCAAAGCGCATTAACGTAAGGCAAGGCAGATATGCTGTGAGTAATCAAACAAATGGAAAGTGAATGAGCACCATGACAGTAGTTCTGAAACGGACCCTGGTCAGATCAATAAGGTGGTGCTTGTCTATGTGCACAAAGTGTCCTTGCAGCAGCACTACAATGAAATGTGTTGGTGCATTCCAAAGTGCAATATTGAAGTGGAGAACTGTATTCTGAGTGTGTTGAAGAAGTGCCATGATGATGCGTTGAGACTGGTGACTTTCTACTGCCAAGTTGTGTTGGATTGGGAATGCAGGTAGCTGCTGTCCATGGAGCTTGCCGTAACCTGTTGGGGTTTACTGTTCAAGGTGAGGGCCTGAAGGAACAAGCAGTGAGCTGGAGTTACAAAGTACACACTCCAATATTAATGTGAATCATTTCACCATCTAGTTTCTATCCAGCAGGTGGCAGAATAGAAATTGCATACCCATGAGGCAAGATTGGGCAATAATGGGGCATAAATGTTGGCAAATGGGCCTCGTGTCAGTATCTAGTGAGATTCTTGTTTTGCCATTCAAAATTTGAGTGGAGACTCAGACTTTTTTTTGTGACATTGAGTTTCTCATTTTTCTGATCTCATATATTTTCCTGATTGTCTTGCCATTGACCACGTCTTTGAGAGGATAGGAAAGTTCAGGTCAAAGTTTGATTCAGCTCCATTATTCCTTGCATTGATTCATTGAATCCAAGGCTGTTGCAGAGCCATGTATGATGAGAATGAGCATTGTGGGCTGAAAAGAATTTCAGATAACTGGTGCTTCAGGATTTCAGATTTCCAACTTGGAAAGCAGGACAAATGGTGCCCAGGGGAGAATTTGTACAGACCATGTATTAAATATTAAAGATTTGAGACAATGTATTAAATATTAAAGATTTGAGACAATCTGATAAAATATAGGATGGTTGATCATGACAATGCAGGTCCAGCAGGAGCAAAGTTACTGATATAACCTAGCAATCACATGATCCAACACAAAGGATCATATGATGCTAGCCCAAGGATCTGTTTCATTTTAAGTTTTAAGTACCTTTCCAGCATTGTATATTGGTAGCAAATTCTAAAAGCTACAGTTGTAGTTTATCACCCTACCTCTCCCCGTGCCTCAGCCCCTGAGGCAAGATCCTGGACATACTGCCATATTTTGAGAAGCTATAGCCAAAAATGAATAACTGTTTTTAAAAAAAGATACAAAGAACAAAAGAATTTGGGTCCAACACTGATGCTCGCTGAGTTGATGCCTATAGTTGATCAACTCCCTGGGCAATTGAACTCAGAGTCCTGAGGCTTACCATGCATTCAGTGTGCTCACTGCTCCCCAGTATGCCAGCATGTGTGCAAGGCTCATCAAGGCCACCCACACCACCCTTTTTTTTATTGTGTTTGGTCAAGCTTCCAATCATGCAGCTGGTGTACCTGTGCTGTGCTTATTAACAGGTACTGTAAGACAGAGCTTTTAAAAAAGATTTTTAATGTTTTACATGAAAATTTTAATCATGAACTTCTATTCACATTTTGGGCAATCTTTCTCTTGCAGCATGTTCTTTTCCCTGAGAGGGAAAATCCTGATATGAGAAACATGAGGCAAAATGTTGCAGGAACAAGGACTGTGGTGTCGGGGAATGGGGCAGGGAGGGTTGCCACTGGTAAAATTGCATAGGTCCACATTGGGCCATCTCCCTGATTAGAGACAGGATGAAGTTCTTGAGAGGTTCATTGCAGGAGAGAGTTCATTTAGCTATGCGATCAATGCTTTCAGATTTTGGGTCCCTCAGTGAGGTGCAGAGTGGTGGAGATGTGGAATCAGCCACAAGGAGTGGCAATGCGACAATCAGGGAGCTGCATCAGCTTGGGCATTGGGCATGATTCCAGAGGCTGCAGCTGGGCAAGAGGGCACCTCATGGTTGCAGAAGACACTGCCCAGGTTAATGGGCCTACTATCAGAGGCTCAGCTTCGTGGAGATGTCTGAGCACCGACGTCTGCAAAGACTGCATCTCTCGAGGAAGGTGATGATGGAGATGTGTGGCATGCTAGAACAGAAGTTGACAGCAATGAAACGTGGTATATGCCTAATGCCCATTGTATTAAAGGTGACGTTGGTATTGCTTTCAGCCTATCCTCCTCAGCCCTCTCAGGCCTCACATGTACCACCATGTAACAGAAAGATGCATGGCTGATACAAACCCGTTCTTTTGTAGCTTCTACCTACCTGAATTCTGTACACGTGCCTTTTAAATGATGTTTCACAGTGAGCTATGACCTATCAACCATTTTTCAATGATAGAGTACTCATGGCTTTATAACAATCATCTAATATATTAATAACATTAACATAATTTCAAAAGTGCAGTCTATTATAATTCCAAAGAATGTAATATGATTTGTTTTTGTTTGTTAGAGTCAGGAATATCAAGATTTTTATCCACTTTGTCAGAATGTCAAGCATTTCAAAATTAAGAGCAAATGTAGTGTTCAATCTGGACAATATATCTTCTGTATTCCATGGGGATGATACTATGTTGGTTATGCTATCCAGAAGCCTGGGCTACTATTCCAGTAGGGCATAAGTTCAAATTCCACCTGGAAACTTGGGAATTTAAATTCCATTTTCAACAGATAAGAATTTGGATTGTTGCAAAACCATCTGGTTCACTAAAACCTTTACGAGAGTTCTGAGACTGCAGTGAATCAATAAGAAGGCCCATCACCATCTTATTAGGTCCGTCAGAGAGGAGCAATTAATATTATCTTTTCCAGTCCCTGTTATATTCTGATAATGAGAGATAAACCTTAAATATCATTGTGAATTTTACATGTCTCACAGCAGCTAACTCAATGGCTTTAGACTGTACTAAACTTTGGGTATTTTATGTTGCACGTTTTAAAATTTATATTTCCTGACCGTAACTGAGTTTCTATTAATCAATTTCCTGGCCTTGTGTTTAAAATGCAGGATGAGTGTGCAAACTATCCGGAATGTATTCAGTGTTGAAAATGGCTACCGTCTTTCAGATGATCAGATTGTAAACCACTTCCCCAACCATTACGAGCTGACCAGGAAGGACTTGATGATTAAGAACATAAAGCGTTATCGCAAAGAACTCGAAAAAGAGGGCAGTCCTCTAGCAGAAAAGGATGAAAATGGCAAATACGTTTACCTAGGTATCTGAGTTGTATGTATATTCTATAGTCATGTAGGACCAAAGTGGCAAAATATTATAACTTAATTAACAGAATATACAAAACAATATATCTTTTATTTTTTTCATGGGTTTCATGGGAGCCCTGGCTAGGCTAGCATTTATTTCCATCTGTATATGTACTGAAGTAGGTGCTGCTGAGCTGCCCTTTTAAAAAAGCACAATTCTTGGTGTCGAAGGACACCCACAGTGCTGTTAAGAAGGCTGTCCAACATTTTTCTCGAGTGAACTTGAAAAAGAGGGAATGAGGAAATATGATATACTTCCAAGTCAAGATGGTGTGTGGCATGGAGGAGAACTTGCAGATGATGGTGTTACCATGCAAGGTAGGTGCTGAAACAATGTGTCGCTTCTGAGAGACACTGGAACTAGGGGACATGGGCCTTCCACTTAAACTGGAGATAAAGAGAAATCTTTTCTGTCAGAGGTTTATTGGATCAATGGAACTCCAGAGAGCAGTAGAGGCAGTGTCATTGAATATTTTTAGGGCAGTGGTGGATAGATTCTTCGCTAACAAGGATATTGAGGATAGGTAGGAACATGGAGTTAAGGCCACAATGATACTAGCTATAACCTTACTGAATGGGAACAGGCTTAAAGTTGCTGAATGGCCTACTTTGCTCCTAATTTGGATATACAAATGTACAGTTTGTTTTTCCCTCACAAACTTTCTCCACTCCTTTCCTGAAGGTGTTAGGTTATAGTTCCATGGACAAAGATTCCTGAGTGGCCATTCGTCATGTATTAAGTTTTGGCAGTGAGTGGAAATTGGATTGTAGAGCATCCAGCTGTCACCTGCTACCTCTGCATGTATGCTTTCTCCCAGCACACAATGATTGATTTTTCCTAATTCTTATCTGAGCACAAATTAGAGTGGCACAGTGGCTCAGTAGTTAGCACTGCTGCCTCATAGCACCAAGGACCTAGGTTCAATTCCACCTGCAGGCAACTGTCTGTGTGGAGTTTGCACATTCTCCCTACGTCTGTGTAGGTTTCTGCCATCAGGGAGCAACAGTTACAATTCTACCCAACATAATAATAAAGAAGCCAATCTATCCTAGTTTGATGAAGTATATGAGGGAGCTGGATGGTGATTTGTGAAGTCTGGTTAATCATTTTTGCACTTCTTCAGTTAGTTTGCGGAACTGCACTTTTTGGGAAAAATACTGTGCTTTTTAGTAAAGATCTAGTTTGACACTGCAGATGTGCTGGTCAATCTTTATGGTCAATGGCTGTTTGCTTGTCATATTATGCAAATTCCATATTCTGTTATCCTTAAAATGAATCTCCCCATCTAGTGGCTTAATTTAGAATTTACCAAGCTTATACAAAATCAATGGCCTGGAAACTGAGCTCCATAGCATCTGAAATGTTAAAATAGCTTGTTTTCAACATTCTTAACCATGCCATGGGAGCAAGGGGGAATGACTTCTTTCTGAACTCAGTGCTGCGAGAGGAAGCAACAAGTTTAAAAAGAAACAAAAACAGAAATTGCTGGTAAAGCTTAGCAGGTCTGGCAGCATCTGTGGAGAGAAAGCAGAATTAACGTTTCAAGTCCAATGACTCTTCTTCATAACTGATTGTAGCAAGGATAAAGCTAGTATATATGCTAAAGATGGGGTGGAGAGAGGGGGAAGGAGTAAACGATAGGTGGAGATGGGAGCCAAGAGAGAGATAGAGGAACAGTTGGGTAGACAAAGGAATGGGGTGAATATCAGCCTGGGAGAATGAATAGCTGCTAATAGGGACTATTAGTGGCTGACAATAGGTTGTTTGTGGTGGCAGTCCATGTGATGACAAGGCCTGGTGTGTGTGGGTTGGGGTAAGGACCTGGGAGTAGGTTGTCAAGCCCTAAAATTGTTGAACTCAATATTGAGTTCAGAAGGCTTCAGGGTTCCCAAGTGGGAAATGACATGCTGTTCTTCTAGCTTGCACTGAGCTTCGTTGGAGCACTGCAGCAAGGCTGAAACAGATGTTGGTCAGGAAACAAGGTGATGAGTTGAAGTGGCAGGCAACAGGAAAATCAGGTTCATTTTTACAGACAGAACATATGTGTTCTGCGAAGCAGTTGCCCAGTCTGTGCTTCATCTGCCCAGTGTATAGAAGAGCACAATATGAGCAATGAATATAGTAAACTACATTGAGCGAAGTGTGGGTAAATTGCTGTTTCACCTTGAAGGTGTGTCTGGGGCATTGGGTAGTGAGGAGGGAGGAAGTAAATGGGCAGGTATTGCACTTTGCGATTACAAGGGAAGGTGCTGTGGGGTTGTCCGTGTCCACTTATCGTTTATTCCTCCAGCCCCTGCCACCCCATCTTTAGCATATACATCAACCTTTTCCAGCCTTCAATCAGTTCTCAGGAAGGGTCACTGGAACCGAAATGTTTATTCTGCATTCTCTCCACAGATGCTGCCAGACCTGTTGAATTTTTCAAGCAATTTCTGTTTTTGTATCTGATTTTCATCATCTACAGTTCTTTGTTTTTTTTAAGTTTAACAAGAACATAGAGAGCAGGGAGTGACTTCATTTTGAATACAGCACTGAGAACGGAGGCAACATGTTAAAGGAGAGTGGAGGTTGAGGGGTCTAGGCCTGAAACGTCAGCCTTTTTGCTTCTATGATGCTGCTTGGCCTGCTGTGTTCATCCAGCTCTGCACCTTGTTGTCTTTGGAGATTGAGGAGTGGTTTCATTCTGAACCAAGAGAGGAGAACTGTGATAAAATCCAATTGATAGCACAAGAAATCTGTCAGTTTATTGGTTGTTGGGAAGTTGCTGCTGGGGAAAAAGTCTAAGTAGTTTAAAACTAAAATAAAAGTATCATATATGAAGAAGTAACAGCTACTTTGCTCTCAGGAAGAAACACTAGCCAAAATAAGTCAAAACAAATTACAATAGCAAAATAAAACTGAAGAAAATGAGATTAACATAGTGAAGTAAAGTTCTAAAACTTGGCCTATATTCTCTAGAGTTTTAAAAAATGGGAGGTGGCTTAATTGAAACCTACAAATATTTAAAGAGTTAAACATCTTAGATGTTTTCCCTGTCTGGAGAGTCCAGAATACAATTTAAAAATAAGGGGAATGCCATTTAGGACCAACATGAGGAGAAAATCTTTATTTGAGGTTGGTGAATCTTTGGAATTCTCTACATCAGAGGGATGTGAAAGCTCAGTTTTTGAGCCTATTTAAAGTAGTGGTTGATAATTTTTTGATTATCAATGGCCTAAAGGCTTATGGGAGTAGTGTGGGTAAAAGGCATCAAAGTGTTCAATCAGCCATCGTTGTATTAAAAATGGCAGAGTAGGCTCAATGGACTGAATGCCCACTCCCATATTTCCTATGATCCTACATGGCAATTTAGAAGTGGAATTGCCTGCTATATTGCTATGGAGCTAGTACATATGTCAAGATCACACATTGGCAATTTTTATTGGAGATAATGCTTTAGAAATGGAAAGGAACCATTAAGACCATAAATGACTATATAAATGTATGTATAAAAGACCTTTCATTGTTTCCTTTTTCCTTTACTTTTCCTAGTTTAATATCACTGGATCTAGCACTGCCTCCTTCCAAGTTTGATTAAAAGCGTACTGATCCAGAAAAATAGTCAGAAACAATGTAGAAATTCCTATTGTTCTTCACCATTACGTTATTTTTACCCCAAACTGTCTTTGGCTAAATAAAGCAATCGTATCTTTTGCTCTTGATCTTTCATGTGTGACATTTAGCTAAGTCTGACAACATTGATAAGCCATTTCAAGAAAACCTTAATCCATATAATCTTAACAATTAGACTTTAAAAGCATGTAAATTTATGAAGTTATATGTTATGAAATGCAAATTTAAACAGATGAACACAATTTATAAGAAGAATGTTATTTGCATTGCATTTTATGTTTGCGATAAATCTTTGGAACAAATGATTCCAAACTCTACCTTCCTCTAACATCACCAATTACTTTACAGCTAGGATTTATTATTGCTGAATGCACATACTGCAGTAAGGTTGGATTTACATATGATTTTCATATCTTTCATTTAAAAGACCAAGCTAGTCAAATTCCAACTTATGTTTTACTAGCTGGAAATTATAGCCACTGCTATAGCTTAAAAGTTGTAAAATGTTTTGTTTTGATTTGTTTAGCTAATTTGTTACTGTATTTTCAGAGGTATAAGTGTTTTAACTGTAATTTGTTGTTTATTTATTCGTTTTGTCACATGAATGAAAAATATAGAGATAAAAACTAACCTTGGTGTTCACACAGAACATGTGGCGTCACATTGTTCATCAGTATGCCTGGCCCAATGTTCAGTTCAAGTGACTTGAATAGAACTTAATGTCATACAGTAGTTATAAAGAAAGAGGCCAATGGAATATTGCCCTGTTACACAGTCAACAAAGTAAAATTACATGCCTGCAACATTTTCAAAACACATTGTGTAAAATCATTATAGTAACTTGTATATCATTTGAGCAAACACAAGAATTAGATTTTACAACTTCTTTTACATTTTTTTTCTTGCAAAAAAGCAGAAAATGCTGGCAATATTCATCAAGTAGCAAATGTAAAGCAAAATTCCAAGTTATCGAATTTGAATTGAAAGTTAGAGATTTTGAAAGTTAGAGGAAGGTCAGGTCAGGTGCTGATACAGAAACAAACTGTAGATAAGTAGAGTGTGATAGGAAGGGATAGATCGTACAAACATAAGCCCAGCGGTTCCACCTTCTCCAGAGGTGTGTCATAACATCTTTGAACAGGTTGATGAGAAAACATCTAAGATTGCCGTAGAAAATATAGTCAAGTATGGGAAAAATGGCTTCAAGATAACAGAGGGAGAGGAGAGTTCAAGTAAAGGTTGATGTAAAAATCCAAAGATAAAATTCAAGGTAACGGGAAAGTGTGGGCAGATAGAGAGAAAAACATGGACTCAAATCCCAACTTGACATTTGGTGGAACT